ATGAAGTAATGTATTATAAAATAGTGAATATCCATAATTTGTAGGTGAATTCATTTATTCTGAATTAAAAGAAGTAGAATATTCAATACAAGCAGCCATTAAACTATATTCATAACTTATTCCCAGAAGCAGAAACTTTTTTTTTCTTCAAAGTCGGCTATCAGATTGTACTTTTTACCTCTCAAAGAATAAACGCTTCATTAATCTGCAAAGGAGATCCAAGTATATCAATCAGAATACATATATACATATTTAGGTGTGTATATACAGCACTACATATAGATAGATAGATAGATAGATAGATAGATAGATAGATAGATAGATGTGAAGAGACTGAGATAGATAGATAGATAGATAGAGAGATAGAGAGATAGATAGATAGATAGATAGATAGATGTGAAGAGACTGAGATAGATAGATAGATAGATAGATAGATAGATAGATAGATAGATAGATAGATGTGAAGAGACTGAGATAGATAGATAGATAGATAGATAGATAGATAGATGTGAAGAGACTGAGATAGATAGATAGATAGATAGATAGATAGATAGATAGATGCGAAGAGACTGAGATATATATATATATATATATATATATATATATATATAGATAGATAGATGAAGAGACTGAGATATATAGATAGATAGATGTGAAGAGACTGAGATAGATAGATAGATAGATAGATAGATAGATAGATAGATAGATAGATAGATAGATGTGAATGAGATAGATGTGAAGAGACTGAGATAGATAGATAGATAGATGATAGATAGATAGATAGATGAGATAGATAGATGTGATGATAGATAGATAGATGGATAGATGAATAGATAGATAGATAGATAGATAGATAGATGTGAATGAGATAGATGTGAAGAGACTGAGATAGATAGATAGATAGATAGATAGATAGGTAGATAGATAATGTGAAGAAACTGAGATAGCTGTGAAGAAACTGAGATAGATGTGAAGAGACTACGATAGATAGATAGATAGATAGATAGATAGATAGATAGATAGATAGATGTTTAAAAACATAAAAGTTGAAATTAGTTAAAATTTAATTTCTTTAGCGGTACAGTGGAATTAAAAACCTACTTCAACTGCTTAACTTCAATCATGTTTCGACTCGCCAATGCAGATTTTGTTTTCGTAAAATACATTATATCTTTCTGACACCATCGATTCACGATGAAACATGTCAAATCCTGTTTCTCTAAGTTGCCTTATATATTTACAATAGCTAGCTAGCTATAGAGAGAGAAATGTAAATGCTTAGAAGCGAGAATCCGAGTATTAAGACAAAGGTACCAGGAGGCTTCAAAAAATTAACATTTCTTAATTTTTGCCTGTTTTACTTCTAATTGAAGACATTTATATGAAAACGCATCATGTACTCTAGTATTTTTTCATATTTCAGAGTAACAAGAACTTCTTCATTAATCTTCATCTTCAAGTTTAGGACGTAGGCGATCATGACTGTCCGCAACGTCCTATTCCTTTTGGGTTGGGTCTGAGCAGTTTTCAATCCTTTGGTAAGGCTCTCGCCTTCCCCTTATTCCGCCATCCATTCCCACAAGCTCGTCAGATAATGGTTCGATCTCTATACGGGTACTATTTCTCTTATCCTCAAGGTGTTCAGTGTGGGTTAGGTTTTCCAATCCCTCTTTCCCATTACGTGCCCAAGTAATTTCATCTGTCTTTTCCTGGTTCTGAGTAGACGTTTACTCTCTGTTACCATTTTCTTTAAGAATTCCTCTTTACTTACTCGTTCCGTCTATAGAATATTAAGTCTCCTTCTGCAGAACCAAATTTCGGAAATCCCCAGTTCTATCTGCATCCGTGGATAGACTGTTCAGTATCTACGCGATATAAGAGGATGAATATAACAAAGAAATCTAGCAGTTTTTGTTTTCTACGAATTTTTCTCCTTTCTTGGAAATTTAGTTTGTGGAATGCTTAACTCGTTCGCCCAATGTGTGTTTAGATCCCGGTGTTGCATTTTCCATCCTCTTTTAAGAAAACTTCCCAGATATTTAAATTTAAATATTAACTTATCCACTTTGTAACTCGCACTTTAGCTTTTTTTCTCTTGCTTTCTGTCTTGCAGATTGTCCTTAGTTTCTTGCTTAACACATTGCGAAACAAAAGTGAAATAAACCATGGCTTTTACGTGGCTGGGGTTAAAAGTTCATAAGATAACTATAAAGAAGCAATACTAGACCTGTGAAATTTTGCATGAATTAATTTTAATTCTTCGTAGTAATAGCTGCATTGTTATTTTCCAAGAAAAATGACATTTGCCTGTTCAAAGAAAAAATTAAATTGTAACATGTAGCGACATCTCGTGAAAATGGAGAAAATTCGACATCGTGGTATTACCAAGCACCAACAAAAAAGAGTTTTACCGCCAAATACATTCAAGCTGACATAAATGCTTCATTAGGCGATAACGCTCCAGCTTTATAAGCAGTGCAAATGTGGATAGCTGAATTTAGAAGGGAAAGAGAGAGACAGAGTCTTGAACAAGACCCAAGGTCTGGTCTTCCTGCAACTGTCACCAGCAAGGAAACAGTGTGTTCACCATTTGGCGGTGAATGACAAACGATTGACTATAAACCAAATAGCCAATTCTCTTGAAATATCCCGTGAGAGTATTGAGAATATTCTGCACAATGAACTTGCCATGACGAAGGCTTCTGCTCGGTAGAGGTCACGTCTTCTGACACCTGATCAAAAGACAATCAGGCTGATAACATCACGGGAAAATCTGATAGCGCCGGCTGGTTTCCTTGAACGTTTCCTGATCCAGTTTTAGTCTCATCACTTTGAGCAAAAGATAATCCATGCACTGGAAACACTATCTTCACCTGCTTCAAAGAAAGTCAAGTTCGGTTCATCTGCAGGGAAGGTGATGGCTCATTTTTGGGGGGCATTTTGTTTATTGGTTATGTTTGAAAGAGCCACACCGTCATTGGAGAACCCTATGCCAAATTGGTGAGGTAGTTACGAAAGGCTATCAAAACCAAACGCCCGGGAAAACTCACTAAAGTAGACTTGTTTCATCAGCAGACCTCGATTTCAATGACTGGTGTGCGTGATTGTGGCATTAATTGGTTGATCTCACGCCTTATTCTCTTAATTTTACCCTGTCTGACTATCATCAGTTCATGGAAATACGCTTGGTTGGGAAACCTTACGTCATATCTACAGTTGCTGACTTTTTTGACCAACAGGATGAAAGCTTCTTTACCAACGGGATCCAAACACTACAACATAGATAGAATAAGTGTGTGGACCTCAAAAGGGATTATATTGAAAAATAATCCTCATTTGGTCACATTTCATGATATCAAGGTCAGCCTGTGAACTTTTCATTCGACCCTTGTACCTTAAAAATGCCGAGTTTCTACCACAAAATACTATTTATCGCTACTGGCTTTTCAATTCCTATATAACAAGACGATAATTAGCTTTACCAAAGCTGTGCGTATTTACTAATCACTCATCCCTCCAATCACTAACAACTGACGTTCATGAGCAAAACTTGTACTGAGTACCGAGAGGGAGAAAGTGTTTTAATTGACTTAGAGAACCAATGAAGAAGAGGCAGTGATTTACTAACGGTAAATGGAAGAGGGAAATTACTTAAACGTCTGTCGGCCTGACAGCCACGTAGATTTTATTAAATAGAGAACTATTGAAAGCAATCAAGAAATTGGTTTCCTTGAGTGTCTAATCAATACAAACGACTAATATGATTAAATTGGGAAGACCCTTGGCTCGTAAGTTAGATAAATGTCTAACTAAACCTGATTATAATTGTGTTTAGATGCTTTCGTAGGAATCTATGGTCCATGAAAATTTTAGTGCATTTTAAATTTACAGGGCGCGATGGGTAAATTGTCGCCATTTTATATTTTTAATTTCGTACATGCACGTTGTTTTTTTTTTTTATTTTATTTTATCGTCCACACTGTATAGTAGGGTCAGTTAGGCACCGTCTGTGAGAAAAGAACATGACGCAATTCAGTCCACCAGAAATTTGGAAATGGTATTCAGTACTGCTTGGCATTCGCGCTAGAAGATCCAATACGATCAATTCAGAATGTTTGGGTGTCAATCTGAAGACAGTACAGAGAATTCGTAGAGTTGGATGAAAATTGACTCATCGTTCTGATAAGAAAAGATCTCCCGAATTTGTTGGAGAGGGCCTCATACTCAACAAGTGCCTTGAGGAAGTAGTGCTGTCCTGGGGTTTCTAGAAGACCCTCTGTCTGACAACAGAATTCTCCACCATGCCATACAAGTAAGAAAACCCAGTCATGGCTGTCAGACAATTTCTGCGACCACACCATCCCTTACATCTGGCCACCTAGTTCCCCAGGCTGCAAACCCACTGATTATTATATGTGGGGCTCAGTTGAGCGAGAGACCAAAAAAAATTCCTTGTAAAATGAACTGAATTCAGAAATTATGGCAGCATTCACAAAATTAAACAAGAAGAACATCCAGAAGAGTTGCAGGAGATTCCTAAGTCACCTGGAGGCCGTTGTTGAAGCCAATTGCGATTTTATTGAATAAATTTACTCTTTAGTATTTCAAGATATTTTTGTGTAATTTTGGTAAATATATCTGTTAAAATGAGATGTCAGCGTTATTTTCATTTTTGCGGCATTTAGACGACAATTTATCCATCGCGCCCTGTAGTTGTTCATGTCAAAATACGTATTTTTTTTTCCCTAAGCCCTCTATAATTATAGTTGTGTGACTATTTCTTATTGCCCGAGATTGTGGTGATTTTCGAAGCGTAGCTTAGATGTGGCACATAGCCGAAAGTGAGGGGCACCCAGTGAGGATTTAACTCACTGCTCAATCTAGCTGGGAATACTTGCTAACCATTGCACCAGGTTATAAGCGAAAATTAAGTTAACAACCTTCACTGATCCAGCCTGCCTTTTTTCTAAAAAAAAATCCCTTCTTACTTGCCCCCACATATGCAAGTCAAAACGATTGTATATTTATATAAGTACAGACGTAAAAGCTTTCTTTCTCTCTGTCTCCCTCTCTCTCCCCTTATGTCTCCATTTCCACCTCTCTCTATCCCTATGCCTCCATTTCCCCCTCTCTCTATCCCTATGTCTCTATTCCCCTCTTTCTATCCCTATGTCTCCATTTCCCCCTCTCTCTATCCCTGTCTCAGTTTTCCCCTCTTTCTATCCCTGTCTCCATTTCCCCCTCTCTCTATCCCTGTCTCCATTTTCCCCTCTTTCTATCCCTATGTCTACATTTCCCCTCTCTCTATCCCCATGTCTCCATTTCCCCCTTTCTCTATCCCCATGTCTCCATTTTCCCCTCTCTCTCTATCCCCATGTCTCCATTTTCCCTCTCTCTATCCCTATGTCTCCATTTTCCCCTCTCTCTATCCCAATGTCTCCATTTCCCCTCTCTCTATCCCCATGTCTCCATTTTCCCCTCTCTCTATCCCTATGTCTCCATTTTCCCCTCTCTATCCCCATGTCTCCATTTTCCCTCTCTATCCCTATGTCTCCACTTTCCCCTCTCTATCCCTATGTCTCCATTTCCCCTTTCTCTATCCCAATGTCTCCATTTCCCCTCTCTCTATCCCCATGTCTACATTTCCCTTTTCTCTATCCCTATGTCTCCATTTCCCCCTCTCTCTATCCCTATGTCTCCATTTTCCCCTTTCTCTATCCCTATGTCTCCATTTTCCCCTCTCTCTATCCCTATGTCTCCATTTCCCCCTTTCTCTATCCCAATGTCTCCATTTCCCCCTCTCTCTATCCCTATCTGTAAAGAACTGGGCTTTTGGATGCGGATTACTGAGGATTGATCGATATGATTTTCTTTTCTGTACCCTAAAACGATAGAAAAAAAACAAAAAATTGCATATATTGCCGGCATTATTTTCTTTACAATTGCTATATTGAGGCCAATATCCCATTGAGTATAGCCGTCCTGGGTATGGCGATAAATTACGTTCAGCAGCAAGGCCGCTGATCAGGAGTTTTTTGAGGAGCGTGGAACCACCTCTTAATTACTGGTGTTCCCAGGTCAACCCTGACCCGGGGTGGTAGCACCTGTTTGGTTCCCACCTATGGGCAAATATGTGACCCCCAAATTGGGGTTGAAACACTATGAAAGTGTAAAAATAGGTTTTAATACGAGAAATACTTTGTAAAGGAATTATTACCAGCAATACATTTTTGAAAAAAAAATTATCAGCAATACATTTTTGAAAAAAAATATTACCAGCTATATATTTTTTTGGGAAAAAATATTACGAGCAATAAAAATCTTGTCGGCATTAAATAATCCATTGAGGTTGATATGCCGTAATATAAACAAAACGAAACCAAACGAAACGAAACCATTGAGTATAGATCCGCTTTTTAGGATTAAATGCTATATAAATAAAGTGGTCAAAGAAATTATAATATCAAGCAGACGTGGTTGATTCCATGACCTGAACGTATCTGTTCAGGCTTCTTTTTAGGTTACTTTCTTCCCAATAAACTTTGATCTTAATAAATTTAAACCTGATTTCATTTGTTATCTTCCGTTTTTTTTTTTGTTTTTTTTTTCATACTCTCTAACACTTGCGTAACCGCTTGCGTCTTAGTAACTTTATTGCCTTGCTTGTGGTAAAATGATTTAAAAAGTGACAAGATATTACACCCTGAAATCAGTGAGAAAAGTGGAAAAAAAAGATGAAATAATAATTTTGCTGTTCCCACAGGGATATATAAATCGAAAGAAGCCTGTGAAATTGCGAGGGTATTTTCTTCTGGATGGAGAAATATTTGATTGATATATAATCAATGGGCTTATACAGTGATTATAGTCTCATTGTCCTTAGCAAAAAGAATCGTAAAGTGGCAGGTAAGATGCTGGAAAATGATTAGCTTCTTAAAGGATATTCAATTTAGAGTAACTACATCTAGAGGCAATTTTTAGACGTAACGTTCAATTTAAGAACTAGCTTAATTCAACAATTTATAAAAAGTGTCGTCAAAATGAGGCATGTCCATCAAAAGTCTCACTATCATCCCTATCCTTATGCACGTTCATAAATCTGTTAAATGGAGATTGTCCCATGACACACACAATGAAGAAATATTCAAAGCTATTAAAATAAACCTAATATTTACTTGGAATCTGAGGGTAAAATAAAAAAAATGAAAATAGAAAAAGATATAGGTAGCGTGGAATAATATGGTTTAATGACTAAACAATAATCTTTTCCGTGTTGGATATGACGATAAATTACATCCGCGCCCCGTATAAGACGATAAACTACGTCCAACACCGAGGCTTCTGATCGGGAAGATTGTGGAGCGTGAAGCCACCTCTTGGTTGCTGGTGTTCCCAGGTCCACCCTGTACCCGGTGGGGGGGGGCAACTGTTAGGATCCCAGCTATGGGCAAATGGTTAGTCCCAAGCTGGGGTCAAAATACTATGAAAGTGTAAAAATAGGTTTTAATGCCAGAAATGCTGTCTAAAAATTATTACCAGCAATAAATTTTAGAAGGCAAAAATTATTACGAGCAATATTTCTTAAAAAATATCTTACCAGAAATACAAACAACTATACATTTTTTTAAAAACATATTCCCAGAAATAGATTTTTGAAAAAGAAATATTACCAGAAATAGATTTTTGAAAAAGAAATATTCCCAGAAATAGATTTTTGAAAAAGAAATATTACCAGAAATAGATTTTTGAAAAAGAAATATTACCAGAAATAGATTTTTGAAAAAGAAATATTCCCAGAAATAGATTTTTGAAAAAGAAATATTACCAGAAATAGATTTTTGAAAAAGAAATATTACCAGAAATAGATTTTTGAAAAAGAAATATTCCCAGAAATAGATTTTTGAAAAAGAAATATTACCAGAAATAGATTTTTGAAAAAGAAATATTCCCAGAAATAGATTTTTGAAAAAGAAATATTCCCAGAAATAGATTTTTGAAAAGAAATATTCCCAGAAATAGATTTTGAAAAAGAAATATTACCAGAAATAGATTTTTGAAAAAGAAATATTACCAGAAATAGATTTTGAAAAGAAATTAGATTTTTGAAAAAGAAATATTACCAGAAATAGATTTTTGAAAAAGAAATATTCCCAGAAATAGATTTTTGAAAAAAAATATTACCCAGAAATAGATTTTTGAAAAAGAAATATTACCAGAAATAGATTTTTGAAAAAGAAATATTCCCAGAAATAGATTTTTGAAAAAGAAATATTCCCAGAAATAGATTTTTGAAAAAGAAATATTACCAGAAATAGATTTTTGAAAAAGAAATAGATTTTTTTGAAAAGAAATATTCCCAGAAATAGATTTTTGAAAAAGAAATATTCCCAGAAATAGATTTTTGAAAAAGAAATATTCCCAGAAATAGATTTTTGAAAAGAAATTTCCCAGAAATAGATTTTTGAAAAAAATATTCCCAGAAATAGATTTTTGAAAAAGAAATATTCCCAGAAATAGATTTTTGAAAAAGAAATATTCCCAGAAATAGATTTTTGATGAAAAAATTATTACCAGCAATACATTTTTGAAAAAAATATTACCAGCAATACATTTTTGAAAAAATATTACCAGTAATAAAACTTTTGTCGGCATTAAATAACGATTGAGGTCGATATACCGTAAAACAAAAGAAACCAAACCATAATCTTTTACACTGCCTCAATGATAATTACCAGCAATAAATTTTTGAAGGCAAAACAATATTACCTACAAGACAAACAGCTATAGATTTTTTGGAAAATAATATTACCAGCTATATATTTTCTGGAAAAAATATTACCAGCAATAGATTTTTTAAGAAAAAATAGACTCATGAAGAAAAAATATTACCAGTAATACATTTTTGGAAAAAATATTACCAGCAATAGATTTTTTAAGAAAAAATAGACTCATGAAGAAAAAATATTACCAGTAATACATTTTTGGAAAAAATATTACCAGCAATAGATTTTTTAAGAAAAAATAGACTCATGATGAAAAAATATTACCAGTAATACATTTTTGGAAAAAATATTACCAGCAATAGACTTTTTAAGAAAAAATAGACTCATGAAGAAAAAATATTACCAGTAATACATTTTTGGAAAAAATATTACCAGAAATAAAAATTTTGTCGGCATTAAATAACCATTGAGTTCACCATGCCGTGAAACAAAACAAACCAAATCAAATCATAATCTTTCACATTGTCTCAATGATTCTCAAAGTGAGCGCTTAGGCCGATAAGTTGGCCTGAGAAATATTTTAAATGGGGTCTAACGGTGCAGATGGAAAACAGAGGAGACATACGCCTGAAACTGAATCAAGGCTTGGAGGTTCAACTTGACAAACTGATAGATATACACCACCACCACCAGCAGCAGCATAGTCATTATTCAAGATTTTTATTTTCTACTACATGTTGCGTTTGTAAATAAAATGTATTTCCTGTTATATGGAATTTCTATTCGTGTTTGTGTTACGGCATAAAATTTACCGAATGTAACCTTCACAAAATTAGGTTTTTCATAGTTTGGTTAAAGCATAAAACAAAACAAGGGTGGAAAGAGAGAGGAATGTATGGTATAACTTTAGTAGGTGTTACTGTAGTAGGAATTTCGCTTCATGTCAATATCCCAGTATCTAAACTGCATAAATACCTTCTACCAAAACTTGATTTAATTTTGCAACACTGGACTTTATTTCAAGGGCTCAGAATCTGGTGCAACTGGAAACTTGACGCTCACCATAAACCTAAAATTATAACTCCTGTTTCCGACCTTCAATTTATAAGACACAAGGTGTTTTCTGGAAAAAATGCATTCTATAAGCAGCAAAATACGGCAGATAAATCAACAGAGGGAGAGTACGGATAATGATAATACGGAGAATGATTTGTAGTGTGCAAAGTAAAATTTTGAATTGATGTCAATCTGCAAACACAGTTAGAAAATCAAATAAAGAATACATATCCCGTGTGCAAATCTGCTGTAGCTGGCGGCCGCGTATGCAAATCAAGGAAATTAATTATATAAATTGACCCAATTTCCATGGTTCCGATCAATATTACCAGCTGAGATTTACATATTGCAGGGAACATCGCTGGTATGTGGAAATATAAACAACTAACAAATTCCAATCTCAGGGGCTTGCTAAGAAACATTTTTGTTTTCTCAACAAAGCCTACCGGTGATGAGCGGAATTCAGTTGCAGATTCCGCGAGGAGAGTGCATAATCTGGCGTGATCAGCAGTTTGAACGATGCTAGTAAAAAGACATGAGCCTTTATGATAACAAAACATCGACAGGCAAGCGTAGGACAACGCTGGATCTGCCCAATTTCACTCATCGCTTTTCGGGCATTTCAACCGTGCCACACACACACAATCTCATATATGTTTTGAATATTTTTTTCAATTTCTCAGAATCTAATGTCCATATGATCCCAGGTTGTTAATAAGAACAAGAAAAGGAATGTAAAACTCAATTTTCAGAACAGTGGGTTGAATAATAGCAAAAGACAAAATTATTCGTACAGCATGAAAAATAGAAAAAAAATAACAATTTTTAAAATATTAATAGCCAATGGAATAGCATCTTATCCTTATAACATGCTGCAATCTTTATCAAAAGTTTTTGAGATTTGAACAAGTCTTTTCTAGGAATTTCTTCCATTCTTAAATGGTTACACGTTCTAATTCCTGAAGGTATTTATTCGAACTTGCAATTCTTGCTATAGATTTTCAATAGGATTCAAGTCAGAACTTATTGAAGGCCGTGGCAGAACTGTAATCTTCTTTTTCTGAAGCCAAGCAGTCACTGATTTAGACGTATGCTTAGGATTATTATCTTGCTGG